CGTTGAACCGGCGACAAATGATATAATATTGTGAACTATACTTTCGACAAAGTTATTTCAAATTCAAATGTTTGATTTCTTTCAAGACCAGACAAACATATGTTGTATGGAAAATGTATAGTACATACACATAAGGTACAAAGTATATATATCCAGTATTCATACACAAGAAGTATGATTTTCTCCTCTTACCTTATATTTCCACTGGGTATGATCTTTCTACTTAACAATCTATCTAAAATATTACATAGATACCTACATAATCAACCTACACAATGGTGTTGGGTATGATCTTTTACTCTTACCATATATTTGTTGTTTTTGTTTCTTGAGGCAATGCCTTACTGATCCTTGACTATTGTTGAATTTATACGCTGATTGCTTTCAGTGTTCACCAGGAGAACAGTGTAAGAGCACTGATCAATTTCTGTTCCCGCAAAGAAGCTTCGGTTAGTGATGAAGAAGAATATATAAAAGAAGATAGTAGACTCTCCAACGCGAGGTCGTCCTTTTAATTGGCCTTTTGGATGGTAGTTTGCTTAAGAGTTTGTCTTAAGTTTAGTTTTTGTCTAAGTTTTTAATTTAAATTAATGGTTTCTTATAAATTGGTTTGGAGGAATAGTAGTCAGTTTGGTTAATTTTGACTAAACATGTTCTCTATCATAATGGTTTGGTTTGGTATGAACAACATATTTTTAAGTATCAGTTTAATTAAAATCATGTTAACACTCTTCTACTTAACAATCTATCTAACAAATTCTGTTTTTTAGCCAGAGTATAAAAAATATTAAGGTTCTTTTGGCTAGACAAATTAAAAATTAATATTTATATCAAACCAAGATTGTATAGTATATAATTTAGTTAGAATGTTAAGTTTAATTTGAAATAAACCAAGTAGAAATTTTGTTTATACACCGGTTTTATGCTTTCTTTTGAAACGTAGTCAAAATAAATAAAAAATGTGTAAATAAATTCTAACTCATATCATTACTTCATTATATAATAAACAGACACAACACAACAATTAATAACTAAAGTTTAATTTATATACTAACTTATTTTATAATCAATTGAATATATATATATATATGTATATATATCTATATATATATATAATATTTAAAAAAATATAATAATCACAAAGTCTAAAATAAACAATCTGGGCGTAGCACGGGAAAACCCCTAGTGATTATAAAAATTATAACAGATTTATGTTAAAGACATGATTTATTATAATAACATTTATGAACAATTTGCGTGTGTTTTGTTAAACAAAAATAGTATAAACATTTGTCACGATGGTTATTATCAATGAATGATCGTTTAGCAGTGTGTTCTAAGCCGGAAGTTGAAAGATTTGCGGACTTTATTCTATATTGTCCTAGTAACTCCTATGCCTATTCTAATATATCCCTTTACAAATTTAATTTCTTTTTTATTTTCTTTTCATAACCAAAACAAAGTAAAAGACACAAAAGGGTTTGAAGAATTTGATAATTTACAGATCCAACCATAGAAAAAAAAACGGATTGTCCACCCAAACCCACTCAAAACGGATCATGTCCTATTAAATTTAATAAAAAATTAAAAACTACAATAAAGAAACAAAAACAAATTTCCCGACTTCCTTTTTCGCTATCTTCTTCCTTCTTCAGCTTTCAAATCCCAGTTTAGAAAACTCTATCAATAATATTTTCTTCTATGATTCATTCCTTCTGCAATTTAATTCACATCGATTGATTCTCTTGTCTTCTCCTTTCTTGTTTTAGATCCAACCAGTTTCTAGGGTTCTCGATGAAAACCAACCATTGCTCTGAGTTGGCTAATATCATCCTTCGTGACTCTGCTCCCACTGAGGATCACGGTGACGCTGGTTACCTTGGTCGTCCTCCTATCGCCGCCAACGAACCCATCCTCTTCCTCAGCTGGGAGAATATTGTTCTTCTCCACACTGGATCCCTTGAAGACTGCTCTGATGATGCTGCTTCCCTCGTTTCTCTTGCCGTGATAACGATCGCTACACTAAGCTTCTCATCGAGGAAGGAGGCATATGGCCTCTCCGTATAGCAGGGGAAAAAGTGTCGGTGGCGGCTCACTTCACTTGTTGCTGCAATTCGATGAGAGCAACGATGGGTATCTAGAGGTAGAAGCCCATCAGAGTTTTTGCTCACTTATCTGTTCCAATCCGCAGCTAAGAGAGTAAGAGGGTTTCTATAAAGTCAAGGGTTTGGCGTGAGATGTTTTGTTTCGCTCGATAGAGATATTCCCATTACTGATTCGTTCGCTTCTCACCAGAGTATTTAATCTCCTTCTTTGTTGACCGAAAGTTTTCATTTAACGAACTGTCAGTGTTGCTTTGTTGGTTTACTGAGTGATTATTTGTCTTGGTATAACAGGTTTCTTCACTCGAGCTAAACAAATTAAGAGAACTGAGATTTGTGATCAACATAGGTAATGCTTGTTGCTCTTTTCCTTGTAATGTGACTAAAGTCGGTGTGTGGTGCTCATGTATGTTTCAGTGGGGTTTAAGTAGTCTTGTTTGTTTCTCAATTGGGTCTGAGGTTATGGAAGCATGGAAGATTAGTTACATCTATTGTGTGCCCGTTAGCTAGACACATCTAGTGCCATTAGTTTTTTTTGAGTTTCAAAATTGAAAACTTTTATCTGTTGTTGTATCCTCATGAAAATTCAGTCTATTATTTTTTTGGGGGCGTTGATTAACTTCGTTTTGGTTTAATTTCAAAACTTTCGTTGTGGATTTTCAGTGGGTGCGAATTCCTTTCACTGAAAGGAAGACCGATGAGATAGAAGAGCCAAAGAAGAAGTATAAAACAAAGGCATGCTTAGAGGATTGTGGGTTAACATAATAGTTATGCCATATTTAAGAACTTAAAAATGTTATTTAAGGATTTTTGGTTTTTGTATGTTTAAAACTTGATATATATGTTTGTTTGAACTATAAGTGAAACATAATAAAATTGGACTACTAGATTTACTAAGTACTACTAGGTTTACTAAGTATTACTATGACAAATAAAAAACAAATTCAAATATGTCTAAAACATGTATAGCATATTTAACACATGTTATTAACTTATAATTAAAAACACCACTAGTATATTTAACATGTAAAACATGTTAAAAATAAGAGAAAACATGTTTCAATATTTACACATAGTAGTACTCAAGCTAGTAGTATTATTTCTTTCTTCATAGTAATATTTTTGCAAATTACAACATTTTTAGTAATACAAAATAAAAAAAAAACAAATTTATTAGTAACACCAATATATTTAGACAATTTTATATTGTAATTAACACATTGGTAGAAATTGTTTTTAGAAAATATGTATTTTTTATTATTCATCTCATTAAGTCTGTCTCACATAGATGTTAGTATAGAAGTATAAGAATGTTGTCTATGCAAATGAAAATTTTCTATCAATTTGAGAAAATAAAAGTTTTTAACGTTTAACTTGGCAAATAAACACATATATGGGTGTGTAATCGCGTTATATGAGATAGATATTCTAAAAATCATTATCAAGACAAAAATTAAGGTTCTTAAAAATATATCTAATACAAAGTAGCTCTAAAGTATTTCAATGTAGTTCAAAGTAATTCAAAGTAGTTCCTAGTAGTTCAAGGTTACATACTACTTCAAACACACAAGAGTCCCATGCAACTTGGTGGTGACAAGAGTAGTTCCACACTCAAAATACTCATACAAACCTTTGCCTTTCCTTCCCCTGATCATTCCATGTCTTCGTCATCATCCACGATATTCTTTGACTGATGGAAACCTTTGTTTTTGAGCGGATCTTTTCTTTGTTTCATATACCAGAGGACGATAGTACAAAATATATAAGTTATATCTGATGAAAATATATAATAAGCCCAAAAATATAAAGTTTTTAGAAATATGTATAATATATAGTAGTTCAAAGTAATACAAGATAGTACAAAGTAGTTCTGGTAGTGCTAGTAGTTCACATACACATTTATATAAATAAAAATATAATATAAAATCTTAAAATTTATTTTAAAAAATAATGTATATCCTTTCGTTTAAAAAATAATATAATTTTGATATTTATTACAGAGATTAAAAATGATCTTAATGCATTCATGCTCTTAATCAATACATATATTTTAATCAAGATATTTTAAGACAGATATATATCCTTCTGTTTAATGAAAAATGTAGATTAAAAATGATTTCAATGCATTCATGTTCTTAGCAATACATCTATTTAAGCAAAAGCTTTTAAGACAAATAAAATTATTTATAGAATCAAAGCATATTGATTAATTAGGGAATTGAAAACTATATATGTAATAAGAAAAGAAAGGGTAAGAAGGTAAAAAAAAATAGGATAATGAGAACAAGTGTGGGGGTAGTTAGAATAGAGTTTTTCTAATTAGGGCATATTAGAATGTTTTCCAAGATTTGCTCTCTAAGTGTGTATGGGTTCGAAACTAATAGTTTCCACTAGATTTTGACCCGCCCTTGAAAGCGCGGGTAAATTTTTATTTTACATTTTTCAAAAATTTAATTTTATATATGTATTTTTCGTTGTAATCATATTTTTGTAAAATATATTTTTAAAATTATTAGTAAGAGATTTGGTAATTATATTGAATTTGTCATGTTGTGTAGACACTTATGTCAAAACGATTTCACACATTAACTTTTTTAGCGATATATATATGGTTTACAGACGAAATGGATATAAGCATTATTTTCATATCTAGACCCGCGGTCAAACCTATAAATTTGACTATAAAATATATATTTAATTGATATTTTTGATTAGTTATAATATCTTTTTTTTTTTTTTTTTTTTTTTTTAAATCAATTATATTATATATAATAATAATTTAAAAATTACATGGCATAGAAAGGAAACCAGTTGTAAACCAATCCTAAACCGGCTAAGTTACTAAACCGACACGGAACTGTAGTTACCATCTGCCGGGAAAGAAAACCCAACCATCCATCACATCGCAAGAAGGCTGAGCCCACACGGAATAGAAGCCGGAATCCCTAGCCCTAGCGAACCGGATCCCACTGTCACATCGCAAGACGGCCCTTCACCGCCAGTCTAGCACATCCCCACCGAAGATGAGTCCCTCACGTCCATGTAATTGAGCAGAAAGTGAACCTCGATGATGGCTGCTACCCCGAGAACTGGAAAGAACCTGCAAGAAGAAAAGAAGGTGGCTCCACCAAACTGTCTAAGTATAACAGCTCGGGCTGGGATGAGTTACGCTTCACACGCGCCGCCGAAGGAGGGAAGGAACGGTTGACCAAACACGAGACCTTCCGAGCCAAACACGCGCCTCCTCTGAGAACCAGATAAGGTTTCTTCCTCCACCGAAGACTTGGGCCACCGCCGGTCAACGATAACCCGCAACTCCAGGAACGGACCCTCCACCATGGAAACCGGTACACCACGGACAAGAAAACGAAGGAGCCAGGAGCGTGAGCCCAATCTACCTACACCATGAAGTACGAAAACAACAGATCTGAGGGAGATCTACTCCATTAAGCCCCCACACGCCACCATCACGCAAGCAAGAGAACCGGTGAGCAAAGAAAATTTCCGGGAATTGCATGCAAGGTTCCAAAAGCCGACTCCAGTTGAAATCAAACTTTCCACAAGCCTCGTCGTCCCTCCAAACACCCCGCCACCGACAGATATGAGAATCCACCATGGTCAGACCCCATTTCCGGAAGCAAGCGAAAGTTTCAGAGATTCAACATATCGACAAGAGAGAGGAAGACATCAGCCGAAGCAAAGGAAAAAGCAGAGAAAAGGAGGACTCCGGCGGAGACGGCACACCGCCAAACGCCGGAGAAGGAGACGAAGATTTGCTTTTTAGGTCTACAGAGAAGGAGGAGCGTTAGGAGAGAGAAGGAGAGAGAAGGAGTCAGTTATAATATCATTCGAAACATTAATTAGTATTGATAGGGCATGAAGAAAACAAAAGCTGATAGTAGTAAAAATGTCTGAATTACTGATTTATTTTCATGAATATTGTGTGATTAATTAGATATAGTTGTAATATATGTTTTAGTGGAATAGTTCGTGGTCATATTTTTTCTTTGCTCATTATATATATATATATATATATATATATATATATATATATATAGTGTATATGAATTTATATAGCATAAAAGAAAGTATTGGATCCTTAAAATATAGGACGTAAAGTGGAGGTTACTATAAATTTAAAATTACGTATATTTCTAATGGTAGTTAGTAAAAGTGGGAAAATATAATTGGAGCTAACATTTATTAATAGGGCATGTTCCAGAATTAATAATATTGACTAGATTTTGACCCGCCCTTAAAGAGGGCGGGTCAACCGTTTTTGCTTTAAATTTATACCCTTGTTCGATTATTCACAAGTATGTATAGGCATGAGTATCCGGGTTCAGATCGATTGTCATTAATAATTTGGTTTGGTCCGCCATATATAGATTAAATAAAACTAAGTACAATTTAATGTGTGGTGTAGGATTTTTTTTTTTATTCGTTTTAGTTAAACAACAAATTATAGGGACCCGATAAAATTATGAGTTCTATTCAGTAATCTAAAGTATTGATTTGTAAAAACTGAAATAAGATCATTAATTTTTAATAATTTCATATTGGTTAAAATTATTTTTTTTAAATAAAAATTATTTTTAGATATATTTTACCAATTCGTTTTTGAATCATTCCTAGACAGAGACCCGTTTCTTGTTGATAAAATTATTAACTTGTTTGTTAGATGACAATAGAAATAAAAAATGTATTTGTGAGATCCATTTGTACTCAAGAAATATTTAACATATTTAATGAAACAATCTGTAAATATTAATT